ATTTTTATTGAATATATATATTATAGATTTGAATTCCTTAGCTCTTGTAGGATTATCTGCAAACATTTTTTTCATACTAATGTTCCTTCCTGCCTATTGCCTCAAAATACTTCTGAAATGCTTTCCATGATTTATAGGAGATTAAATCCATTTTGCTAATATGATCTAAATTGGCTTAAAATTGCTATGATAGATAGATAAATTATAGATATATAGAAAGAACAATATATTTGACATCAATTAAGTCAAAACATTTACATTTCCACTTTGAAATATAATGCTATTTAAAATAAAATATAATATTATAGATGTCGCTAAATAATATGGAGATTAAAACTACAATTTAGCATAACTTAAATACTTCAGAATTTGTTAATATTAATTAAATATTATTAAGAATCACTCTCTATTTAAGTAGGACAAACGTCCTATAATTAATAAAGAAGTTGATATTAACAAAATTATAATTGACTATTATCAGGTACAAATAATTGACTTGATAAGGTACGAATTTCTTTAAAGAATTCTATTGGCTAATCGTGTGACACAGTATATTTTAAGCCTTATTGGCTAATCGTGTGACACAATATATTTTAAGCCTTTTATTAATATAGATATTTTTATTTTACTCATCTTCAAAATCTCCAAAATTTTCATAATAATTGAAAAATAATGAATATGATTATTATCACTTTTCTATGGTTCATCTTCCCTAACATCTCAATTTAACATGTTTACAATTTATTTTTTTGCTCTTTGTAAAAAATAAATTCAAAAAGTTTAAAAATAACGATTATAAGATTTGTCACTTTCTATGGTACATCCTAATTTAAATTTAACATGTTTACAGTTTATATTTTTACCAATTTACTTCAAAAATATTCAAAAATTTAAAATTAACGTTTTTGTCACTTTTTATGGTACATTTCATTTAAATTTAACATGTTCACAATTTATATTTTTACCCATTTGCTTTAAAAATATTCAAAAAAGTTTAATAAGAATGATTATGACTTTTTATGGTACATTCTCATTTAAATTTTAATTTAAGATGCTTACAATTTATATTATTACCCATTTGCTTCAAAAGAATTCTAAAAAGTTAAAAAATAAGGATCATAACAATTGTCACTTTTATATGGTTCAACTTCCCTAAAATCTCAATTTAACATGTTTACAATTTATTTTTTTTACTCATTTCCTTCAAAAAAGTTAAAAAATAACGATTATGACAATTGCCACTTCTATGGTTCATCTTCCCTAAAATCTCAATTTATCATTGTTGCAATTTAATTTTTACACCGAGTATTCAGTGATGCAAATTCGGTTATAAAATACAATTTAGTCGACTATGGGTCAACTAAGCCTACTAAATTGATACTTTAGTCGACTATCGATTAATTTAGTCGCTAAAGTTTTTAGTCGATTTCCTCGATTAACAACACTAAAGAAGTATCACGATATTGACATCATGATACTAAATTCGCTAAAATATCTTGGCGATATATTTCGCGAAATAGTTTTCGCTAGTCTTCGCAATTTGGGTTTCGCGATAATGACTTCGCTATAAAATTTTCGCTGTTATTGATTGGCGATAAAAGTTTTGCAATAATGTATTCATTTTTACAATAAGGGGTTTGCTATAAGAAATTAGCGATATTGTCTTCGAGGAAAAGTATTCGCTAATGTGGATCAGCGACAAAAGTTTCGCAAAAATGTGTTTTGCATAAAAGTTTCGCGGAGTTGACATGGAACTCTATGTAGAAATCTACAAAAATCAAATTTAGATTTGGTTCAGATTGATTGGAAATATATACGAACGTATAAATAAAATAAGGATCAATGTAGATTCATATATTAATTATCTAGACGTTGATTCTAAAACTAAATTTTATAGCATTTAATTAAACCTGGTCTCGCATCTAGATTATTAAGATGAAATAAAAATGTTGATTCATTTAATGAATATTATAAAATATTAATTTTCATCCTATTTTTGCACACCTTTTTATCGCAGACATAAGAAAGCCACGTTTTTAACATTCTTCAAATTTTATTATCTAAAGACTTTTCCGCATTTTCTGATGCCATTATTGGTAAATAAATATTTAGCTAAATTTTATTCCCATGATGATACAGAAATCAGTTTAATCAGTGAATTTGAATTGTGGTATAAATATTTACTGCTTTTGGTTATTTTGTCTGAGCATGCAAATGATGGGCTCAATCGCTGTAAGGAAGCTTTGGCTCAATTTCCCAATATTTTGTTATATTCTTGCATGTTTGTCTATTACAACATGTACGAATGAAAAGATCTTTTCCAACTTAAGAAGGTTGAAAAGATTTACGAAATAGTACTTTCAAATCTTGGCTAAATGGTTTAGCTCTTTTAAATATCCACAGAAATATGATTCCTATGACAAATTAAATTCTTGATAAATTGGCAAACTCCCAATATTATAATTTAATATTTAATTAATTTTTTGTATAATATTGTATTTGATAAGAAGTTATAAAAACTTACTATTTTCTTGTCAATGTTATATACCCACTACAATTAGTATATTCAATAAAAAAAATTCTACTTATATTATGTGAGAATTTTCTAAGCTTTGGCTAGTTTTTAAAGCACATTTTATAAAAATAAATTACATCATTTAACTTATTTTACATTTACATAATTTTTTATTAAATATAATATACATAAATTAAAATAATAAAAAATTGGGTTATAATTATAACCTTTATTTCTTTTTATATGAATGATTTTTAGTAATCTAGTGTCAGTCTTAGAGTAAAAAAAATAATTTGAGGTGAAAATCTTATTACAAATATTATTGTCAAGGTTTTTTTTTGTGCGATAACATGGTTATCTTTTTACCGAAAGCATTACAACTATTAATGAAACTTCTGGCATGAGACCCCAATAAATTTACAAAATACACCTTATACCATATAAGTTGGTCCACCTAAATATCTAGATATTAATATTAAATTTCTTTTTATGTTTAAAATCCTTTTATGTTGTTATTCAAATATGAACTTTAAATCTATTAATAATATGAAAATACACAATTAGTAAATGAAACTATAATATGCTCCGCGCTGAATATAACGCGATAAATTTTGGCCACGCCGAATGGACATGTAATCTTAAAAATCGCTCATTTTATTAATGAACGATTTATTTTTTTCAAATGGATCTATCCAATTTACAAATACTACAATCTAGAAATCCTAGTTTGGTATATTTTAAAGGAATTAATTATTTAACTCAATTTTATTAAGAGGATATGGTAAGAGACCTAAATAGCGAGCATCAAAATAGCGAAAAATGAGAATAATCACAATAATACTCACCCTAAATTCATAGTGAAAAATTGTAGCGCGATTGCGATCGCGATTTAGACGCGATAAATACAAAATACAGTAAATATCATATCGCATTCATAGTTATCGATCGCGCGATTTGAATCGCAAAAGCAAATCGCCGCGATTTTTTCAAAACACAAATCATTTTGTGTTTATCGCGAGATTTTGAAATAGTGCTTCGTTAAATACAGATTTTGGTGAACATAGCTCAAAATCTTTGATTTTGTGCTACTTTTAAATTTAGCGCTAATTTTTTATTAATTGAAATGAATTCAATGACAACCTTTTATGATGATATAGAACCAAAGGATCAAGTTAAAATTATGATTATTTAAATTTAATTTTTTTTTAGAAAATAGATAAATCTTTATTTATTCTTTCAGTTAAAGAATATGAGTGCTTATATAATAAGCACCATCATTTATATAAAAATAATAATTACAAGAACAAAGTTTGGGTATTATTAGCTGAAGAGTATAAGACGACTGGTAATAATTATGCATACATATTATATTTATAAATTTTTAGTAACATCTCTCAAATCTCTGGAAAAATTTGAGAGATTGCTTCATAAAAGAGAGACAAAAATTAGTTAAATTGAAAAGTGGGTCAGGGTCTGACCATCAAATCACCTGGTCTTTCTATCATGATATGCTATTCATGGTAGAAACCATTACACCTAGGTCTCAAAAGTCCTCTTTAGATAAAGAGGACTCTAGTTCTATAGAGGTTCGTGATATTTTTAATGAAATGACAGGGGAGAATGATTGTAAAATATAGCATTTTAATTGAAAATATATTTATTATTTAGGTGATTTCATTGATACTGACAATACATCAGATGTTACAGTTATTAATAAAGATTCTGTAACACTAAATCTTAATGATTCTGGTAATTAATATTCTCTAAAAACTTATATTATTTATATTTAAGAATCTATACCCTGTGTTGCATCTTGTTCGTATTATAAAAATCCTAAGAGAAAGAATAATCATGGGTAATTTATATTTTTTAATTTTTTGATAACTTTTAAATAGATGAATACAGGGACATAATTAAATTAGAAAAAGAAAAAACATTAATGAAATTGGAATTGCTTAAAAATAAACCTATTGAATATGTATATGATGGAATATGTATAATGTTGCAACAAAAATTAGATATTTCTACCATACAGGAAAAAAAAGAGATATCAAAGAAAATATTTGATATTATAAACGATTAATGATTAAAATTATTTTGTAAATATTTTTGTATTAGAAATATATATTTTGTTAATATTTATATTATTTGAAATAAAAATTTTGTGAAATACATTGAATGATATAATTATTCCCAAAAGTCCTGCTATAATTAAACTTTGTACTGAGTTTGGTAATTAATAATGAAATATATAATATTTATAATGAATGATCTTTTTCATAGAGAAAGTTTAAGGACATTGGTTATTTTTGTTTACTTGCTTTATAAAAATATTTTGAATAGATGAATTTAGAACATCTATATAACTTTTTTAGTGACATATTCCTACAAATATATTTAATGAGTTTAGACTATAATAATAATAACTTTATTTTTATTATAATATATATAAACAAGATATTTATATAAAATATAAAATAAATATCTATAATATGGGATTTTTATATAAATATAAGCATAATAAATTTCTATTAAATTTTGCAATATTTGTTGCTGATTTAATTGATTGTGGTTTAAATAAATTTTCAGGGGGTGATTTTATTTTAGGATTAAAAGACATAAATCTTTCCTTATCAATAATAATATTATGCAATAATGTGCATGTTTTTATTATATATTCAGTAATTGATAGTTTTGTATCCATAGGACGATCAAAAATCATCCATTTAGCTCTCAAGATGCCAAATGCACATTCGACTTGTATCCTAGCACGAGATATCCGATAATTAAAGGCCTCTTGTTGAGGGGTAAGGATACCTTAAAATAATAAGGGAAACAAATTTTAACATATAACTAATAAAATTTTAAATTCCTAATAATTAAAATAATGGCCATTAATAATGCCCAAATAATTGCTTTAATATATTATATAAATATGATATAATTAAATTAATATATTCTTTTACTATACCTTTATAAGGCTTTAAAATATAGGACTTCAAAGGATAGGCATCATCAGCAAAGAAATGTGGGAAAAGGAGGCTGGAATTCGGCAATCTTTTAGAAGGAGGTAATTGTATCTCTCCATTTTCTATCATTTTGTATATTTTGGAGTTAGCAAAAACACCTCCATCAGATTCACTGCCAAAACTTCCTACATCGACTGTTATAAATTTGCCTTTGGCATCCACAATTCCTTGTTTTTACAATATATAAATAATATATTTTTTCAAAAATTATATTTTTGTAATTATCAAGTTTTCATTACAATGTTTAATTAATATGGAAATATTTAATTAGCATAAATAAAAAACAAATTCACAAACCTTGTAAAACCACAGAGAAAAAGTGTTTATAATTGTAGAACCCACTGCCAGAATGAGGTGGCTTTCTAATTCTGCAGTTTTTTCCATCAATACATCCCACACAATTCGGTAAATTCCAATTCACCTCAAACTCCTTTTAAATAATAATATATATAATATACACTATATTATACCTTTGCTATCCTCTCAAAGTAGTGTTGTTAATTGGTTGGTTGTGTAGAGCCCAGACCCGGGGTTTGGGTCGAAAATATCGACTAAACCAGCTCTGAGCACGAACCCCGAGCACAGACCCGGGGTTCAGACCCGGGGTCCAGACCTGGCACAAGAACCCATTTATTTTTAACTTTTTTTTGAACTTAGTAGGAAGGTATACATAAGATTTATTCATTAAAAGAACAAGCGTTCCCTCTAGGTCTCGCTCGATAGGCTAATATGGCTAGGTGTGTTAATTATATACTGTAGTCTACTATTAATCATAATTATTATTATGAATATTTTTAACAACAACATGATGATATTGATATTATATGGGCGTCAAATAAAAGGTGTTTTAATTAAATTTTGCTTTAATACTTATTATTATATTAATATTCTAAGTGGGCGGGTCTACTAGGTCTTATGAGGTCAGAAATATTTTTAACAATGGAAAATATTGATATGGGTAGTGTTGTTCGACTCAGTCGAAAACTGAGTCTAAGTTTTGGGTCGAAAATATCGACCCAAACTGACTTGAGTTATGAACTCGAGTCGTGAACTCAAGTCGACTCAAGTCGTGAACTCAAGTCTATATACTTGAGTCGACTAGAGGACGAATATTTTTATAAACTTGAGTCGTCGACTAGAGGACGAATATTTCAAATTAATTATTAATTATTAAGATTTGTTCTGTTTATTACTTTTTTTTTATTTTAGACTTCCAACTTGAGTTGCAAATAGGAATTATATACTTGAGTCGACTAGAGGACAAATAGTTATACTTATATGAACGTGAGTCGACTAGAGGACGAATATACACAGATCTAACTGTATATCGTTATGAATCTCTCTAAAGTGAATGAAAAGTTCTTTAATATTACATAAAATTAGCCTTTTCTGCACTTGATATTTTCCTATTTACATATAAAATTATTTTTGCCTGCATAAGTATTGTTGTTAATTGATTGGTTGTGTAGAGTTCAGACCCGGGGTTTGGGTCTAAAATATCGACAAAACCAGCTCTGAGCACGAATCCCGAGCACAGACCCAAGGTCCAGATCCGGAAAGATGGCACAAAGGTTTAGACATTATCGAAAACTCGATGCTTAGACAATTGTTTTCTGGTTAAAATATTGATTTAGCCGTTTTTAAAAATCGGCTCAAAAATAACCGTTTAACACTAATAGAAATCCTGATCACATTATTTAATAAATATATATTTTATTATATCATTGAAAACAAACTCCCTTTTTTGCTTAAAAATACAGGTAAAGCATTATAGGTAAACCGAATGTTAAAGACTCAATTTGGTGCCAATTTTTATTATTTTTTGATAGCCCTTTAGATAATATTTTTACTTACAATATGATATATAATTAGTTTTTGAGATAAAATATTTATTTTTTGTTTAAATAATTTAATTCCCAAGTCAAAATTAAATATAAACCCTCTTCCTCCCTCCCTCCCTCTTTTCTTTACTTTATTATTTATATCCTTGTTTATAAAAAAAATATAAGAATTTTAAATTTTCATTTCATAAATTTTTTAGAGAATTTTCTTATAAATAAACAAGAGTTTTATATAAATAAAAAAAACATTAAATAAATGTATCCCACCCAAATTTATAAATGGGGGTTTTATTATAAAACTATTTTATTCAATTTTTTTATTTTATATAACATTATTAATTCCTGATTTTTTATTTCAAAATATAATAAACAAGTGAAAATAAAAATAAAAGGAAAAAACAAGAAAGTTAAACTTAAAATTAAAAATTACAAAATTTTTTTTCATATATAATGCAAAGTAAAAAAAATAAGATGCAAATTATTTAAATTATCTCAAATAATTCTTGCTGCTCCTTGCACCCAGGTCTCAGTTGAGAGAGCATTTAGTGCATTAGCACTAACTGTAACCTCTCTAAGGACAAGATTAGACAAAGATATACTTGATGATATTTTAATTATAAAGTTTAATCGTACATTGTTAAATAATGTGATATTTTAAATCATTATTTATATAACCTATTTCATTATAAAGTTATTGTTTACATTGAAATTTTAATAAATAAAAATTCATATATATGACTGATTTAGATGATAACAATATAAATAGATTTTTTGTATGAATAGTATAATCAGAGGGGGGCGTATTTTACGGGATAGGTTCTAAATCGCTAAAACAAAAATTGGGAATTTGATGATATTTCTTTCATTTTAGCGATTTTTTTTAAATTTACAATTTAAATACAAGTGTTTAGTCCCCTAGTATCTATTAATATTAATATCAAATTTACTTTAAAAATTTTCTAGGAGATATAAGCCATGTTCCCAATTTTTAGCGATTGCGATTTAGAACGGGAACCTATTTTACTAGTCGGCTTGAGTTCACGACTAACGACTTCAGACTCTGAGTCGGAGTCGGGTGAACTCGACTTTTTAACAACACTAGATATGGGTATCAAAAAAAAGGAATTTAATTATATCTTGATTGTAATCTAAATTATTATTTAAAGTGGGCGGGTCTAGGAGAGTTAAATATTTATAAATAAAAATTAGGATGTGAAAGAAAGTTATTAATAGTATAATTATTATAAATATATTCTTATTTTTTCTCAAAAATATCATCATGAGATCAAAAAGATTATTTACCGGTTGACTAAAAAACGTTAGTAATTCTAAAACGCGTCATCGTTCTTTTTATGAAATCTATTTTATTAAGTGCCGATAACTGAGAATTATACCGTAGGAACAAATTAATTAAGTAAGTTAATTTAATGATATACTGGCCATCTGTCAAGATAAAAAAAATAAATCAGATATATTTTGACAAAGTAACTGCTAAGTATTTAGTATCTAGGTGACAATTGACAAACTTATGATATTAGAAATTTTGATATATATTTTTTATGAGAAATTATTTTTTCATGGTTAACATAAACATCTTAATAATCGCATAATGTGATATTTTATTATAATTTATTTAAACAAATATATATAATTATAGTATTATGATAAATATAATGAAATAAAAAATTATATAATATACATTTAAAAAATATATATATTCTCCAATCCAAACGCATATAAAATATTATGTTAAAAATTCGTATTCCGTTATATAAAATTGTCATATTCCTATTACGAGTGAGTCTTGCACGGTAGAGAGAACATACATAAAGCCCCGCTTCAAATAATATTTTAACAAATATGTAAATATTAATAATTTTATTGAGATAAATAATATTATTATATGACATGCATGAACATGATACTTAATATTCTTAAACGGCGAGAATTTAACCAAATAAATATTCGCGTGCCTGCACTTAGCTAAATTTAAATTTATGTTTTTAAAATTGACTGCATTTGAGACTTTTAACAACACGAATAATAAATTAAACTCAAAATAACCTATTAACATAAATATTTATTATAGATATTTTACTTAAATAAATTTCTAAATAAGTGATATTTTATATTTCTATTCTGACCTCTCTAATTGATGTATGTTTAATAATAATATTATTCCATAAACTGTTATACCTGAGAAATTAATGCCATATGTCATCACGAAGAGACATTATATCTGTATCCCAGGAAGAGAGTGACATACATTCCTTTAGCGTCGATGAGGCCATCCTGTTCCTCAGTTTTGTCATAATATTTTCGGCCAAGGAAAAAGCTCTTTCCGATGCCACTGAGGTTGTCTGTTGGCATAGATAGTCCCTGGCCATCATTGCTAAATGAGGAAAACGAACAGCATTTCCTCTCCACCAATCTAATATATTTATGATCTCGGACGCGAGTGGCTCATTGAGGTATGTCGATAATTGATTATTATCATTAGTGACACTTGATGCTCCTTTTCTAAATATGGATATATTTAAAATATCAAAAATTATGGATTAACATAGAACATTTAACAAATATACCTTTTTTTCAATCCCTGCAATATTGAAATAGTTTTAGAATTTGAGATATCGTTATTATTATCAAAATTATACGCATCTGGCTCTGACGTATATTTTGCAAAGTTTATTTTAAATATATCTAAATATTTATCTGCAACGTCATCCTTTAGATTTGTAATCAGAGTATTTTTGATCCTAGGATCAAGTAACGACGCTGCGTAATTATATGGAGTGAATATATTATCACTATATTCTTCAGCTTTCTTTAACATAATAGTGGCTGCTTCTTTTATTGACAAATCAGAATATGCCACGGTATGATTTTTTAAATTCTCCAATATATCATTGAAGAATAATAGGGTCATCCCGATTGTGGGAGAATGAGTGGATATTTCTACAGTTATTTGATAAAATGGTAGAAGAAATTCTTCCAACTCTAGGAAGAACGAGTATTCATCAGAAGATGGCGTAATATCCTCCCCTATTATACCTTGATCGCTCAATTCATGAATTGAATCAATATTCTAGATAGATAAAAGAAAAAGAATAAAATATACAATAATAATTATTACCTTATTGATGGCGGATATCATGAGGTACTTGCTGTTCCATCTTGTTTTAACAGCTAAAGGTATTAATGTAGCCCCACATATGGCTTTATATGATTGCATAAATTTGGGCGAGCTATGTAATTTATTAACTATATTTTCTATTTTTTCCAATTTAGCCTCAAAAAAATGAAGGCCCACCTTTACTATCAAATTAATGATATGGGCCATGCAGCGATGCCCATATAAAATTTTCGAGTATTGGGATTGATAATACTCTTGGAGCAGTTGTACTGCCTTGATCTCATTTGATCCGTTATCGTGTGTTATTGATATTATTGTATCACTTAATTTAAAATCATCTAATGATGACAAAACAATTTTACAGATATTATCTCCAGTGTGTGGGTGAGGAAACAAAATAATATCTAAAATCTTATTTACAATATCCCAATTATTATCAATATAATGGAACGTAATAGCACAGTAGGACGTGCTATTATTAGCAGTCCACAAATCTGTGCTTAAAGCTATCATATTACTGTTATTTTTTAATTTATCAATTAAATTTTTTTTGGCTATAGTGTAGACATTACTAAGGTTTTTTTTTAATGTTTGCCTACACCACAGCTTTATATTTTTATTTGTATAATAGAAAATTTTTTTAAAAGCTGGGTTTTCGATTATATTAAAGGAACAATTAGTTTTTATTAAAAAAATTAAAATGAGTTTATTTATCATTAAATTTTCATGAGATAAAAGCTTTCTCATCCCCGGCATCGAGTCAATGGAACCGTGTGAGTGTGACATCTCTTTGAATATATTTGGATGCACCGATTTAAGATGTTTTTTCAAATTCGCTAAATATATAAAATATAATTCATAAATTAGTACAGGAAGTTTTTAATAAATAATATTTTTCGGTCTAAATTGGTTGGTTGTGTAGTGCTCAGACCCGGGGTTTGGGTCTAAATCGACTAAACCAGCTCTGAGCACGAACCCCGAGCACAAACCCGGGGTTCAGACCCGAGGCCTGTGCTCGAGCAAGTATTAGCACAAAATTGGGTCGTATATTTTACGACCAAGCAAATTGACAACACTTAAACCGTGCTCAGAGCTAGCCTGAGCACTAATTAAGTTAAAAAGCTAAATTTTTTATTTCTCAAGCCGGCTCAGGGTTTAAGCCGTTGGTTCAGGCCGGCTCAAGAAATATTTAAGACAAAAATTTAAAATTATTGTTACTTTGGGAAGTTGAAAATTTGTAAATACTTGGGCAAAGATTACATTTTTTACGTGTCTTATTAGGAGTCATCGTAAATGAATTCCTAATGTCTATTGGTATGGATGACGATGAGGCTTCTTCAGAAAATGATTCTACCAATTCTTGTCCTATAGATGATTGAGACAAAAATGAGAATTCATTACTTGGAGATGGCATAGATTGGTCATCATTATCTGACCAATGAAAATGATCCTCCATATTAAATGTATTAATTTAAAATTTATTTTATAAAATTAAAATATAAATGAAAATGGAAATGAAGATGAAAAAAAATTTAGAATTTTTAAAATTTATTTTATAAAAAAAAATATAAATGAAAATGGAAATGAAGATGAAAAAAAATTTAGAATTTATTTACTTAATAACTTTCTTTCACATCCTAATTTTTATTTATAAATATTTAACTATATTTCCAATCCCCCTTCCATCTGTTTTTTTAATTTCGATTGTTCATAATTATACTTCTTTTCTTATAAAAGCTCCTTTTTCTTTTTTTTTAAATTTTGAACTTTACCTAAAAAATAAAATATGTACAAAAAATAATAAAATATTAAAAAAACAGGATGTATGTAAAATGTAACTTTGCCTTTTTTATTTATGGCATGGCAAAAAATAACATTATACTGTGCCTGGAATATAAAATATTATATAATAAAATATATATTTATTAAATAATGTGAACAGGGTTTCCAGTTCAAAATTTTCAAATTGCGGATAAATAGTGCATTGTTAAAAATATTCCTGAACCCTCCTAGACCCGCCCACTTTAAATAATAATTTAGATTACAATCAAGATATAATTAAATTCCTTTTTTTTGATACCCATATCTAGTGTTGTTAAAAAGTCGAGTTCACCCGACTCCGACTCAGAGTCTGAAGTCGTTAGTCGTGAACTCAAGCCGACTAGTAAAATAGGTTCCCGTTCTAAATCGCAATCGCTAAAAATTGGGAACATGGCTTATATCTCCTAGAAAATTTTTAAAGTAAATTTGATATTAATATTAATAGATACTAGGGGACTAAACACTTGTATTTAAATTGTAAATTTAAAAAAAATCGCTAAAATGAAAGAAATATCATCAAATTCCCAATTTTTGTTTTAGCGATGTTTTTTTAATTTCGATTGTTCATAATTATACTTCTTTACTTATAAAAGCTCCTTCTTTTTTTTTAAATTTTGAACTTTACCTAAAAAATAAAATATGTACAAAAAATAATAAAATATTAAAAAAACAGGATGTATGTAAAATGTAACTGCCTTTTTTATTTATGGCATGGCAAAAAATAACATTATATACGATTAAAAAAAAATAGGAACTTGTTGAAATTTATTTTTTTAGGTTATTTTTTTAAAATATGCTGGACAAAATGTTAAAATTATGAAAATGTTCTTTCTTTATCAGTTCCTATTAGTGCTTTGCTTTAACTAGTAGAGTAGCCAGTTTAAATATCAGCAACTAAGCCAGTCTTACGTCAATTTTTTAGAAATTTTATCAATATTTAATAATTTGTGAGTTATTTTAAACTGCACTGCCCGGCTCGAATTTCTTTAAAATATATTATAATAGATAATAATGGTTATTTAAAATATGTGGTTTTAAAATATAAGCCTGGCCCTTGTATTTAAAAAATAAAATTGAGGCTGGGTCCGGGTATATTTAAAAAAATTAAAATACAGCCCGGTCCGTGTACCCGAGCCGGATTTAAGGCTGGGTCTGATTTAATTGCGCGTTTTTTATTTCCCTGATAAATGTGAATTTACCAAATTTATTCTGAAGAGAATCTACTCTGAGAATTTCATATGATTATGCTAAAAAAATTTTGTATTTAACAATTTATAATGAAAATCCATATATAGGTAATCAAAATTAAGGTAAGGTGAAAGTATGATGGGTATTTTGTTCTATTTTTTGCATTTTAAATAATTAATTGGGTTCTTTAAATTTTTAATCTGATTTTGCCGGAACTGTATTCCATGTGTAGAAACTTTGATATTAGGGATTTATTTTTTTTATTATTTGAATTATATTTTAAAATAAGATCCAATAGAAGGAGGAATAGGATTTATTGCTTCTGAAATTTCCTGGCATTAATCGCATTCATTTTAGTTCCAAAACACTAATTATTGTTTAAATACGCCAATATTTTTAAAGAGAGAACTTAATATATTAGCAATCTATATTATTTGTAGTCATACTAAACTAACCCAATTTATTTTCAAACATTAATTTTTATAGAAAATGGCCGTCAATTTTGAAGTGAGAAATAGATATTATTATCAATCGAAATATCAATTTTATCCCAATTATTTTAAAACATCGATTTTCAAATGAAATATGATATCGCCAATGGTTTTGAATTCAAAAAATTATGTAGAATGCAGTCAATATTAAACAACGGTTTACCGTACACCAGGCTTAAATATTTTTTTTTAAAAACCTGAGATGATTTAAAAAAATAAATGGGTTTTTGTGCCTGGAATATAAAATATTATATAATAAAATATATATTTATTAAATAATGTGAACAGGGTTTCCAGGTCAAAATTTTCAAATTGCGGATAAATAGTGCATTGTTAAAAATAATCCTGGAATAATAATTTAGATTACAATCCAGATATAATTAAATTCCCTTTTATTTGACGCCCATATCAATATTTTCCATTGTTAAAAATATTTCTGACCTCATAAGACGAATATTAATATAATAATAAGTAATAAAGCAAAATTTAATTAAAACACCTTTTATTTGACGCCCATACATAATATCAATATCATCATGTTGTTAAAAATATTCATAATAATAATTATGATTAATAGTAGACTACAGTATATAATTAAAACACCTAGCCATATTAGCCTATCGAGCGAGACCTAGAAGGAACGCTTGTTCTTTTAATGAATAAATCTTATGTATACCTTCCTACTAAGTTCAAAAAAAAATTTAAAAATAAATGGGTTCTTGTGCCAGGTCTGGACCCCGGGTCTGGACCCCGGGTCTGAACCCTGGGTCTGTGCTCAGGGTTCGTGCTTAGAGCAAGCATGAGCACAAAATTGGGTTGTAAATTTTACGACCAAGCAAATTAACAACACTATCTCAAAGTCAGTGAGAGTAGGTGGTGGCATATGTTTACCTACCAAAGTTTGCCATATAGCTTGGCAGGTTGTGCTAATTATTTTCTGGACTGTAGATATGCCTATTTTGAAAGAATAGGCCAAAGTAGGGTATCTACAGCCTGTCTAAATATCTAAATAAAAAATATATTCAAATAATAAATTGCTTTATTTTTACCTTAAACAAATCATAAGCATATCTTCTACATTTATAGGATGTTTAATGAAATTTGTACGTTTAGTATATAATAATGGTTTTATATATTTTAGAATATAATAAAATGTCTCCTAAATTAAAATCCCCCCAGCGTCTACGTGAATGGGGAGGGGTAGTAACAGTTCACATCCAATATTTTGAGCAGGGTAAGGGGTAGGCGCCTGGGGGTAGGACAGCGTATACATGACAGGATTTTCACTGGATGCAAACCCCCTTCAAAAACCTTTGCCTACCTCCCCTAAAAAAATCGTCACCTTCGGCGGCGGTGTCTTTTTATCATTATTTTCACTTATTTATTTATTGATACTCTTTTCAAAGAATTTATAAAGGATAACTTAAATAATTTATCTCTACTACCAACTATCGATATTTTGTGAATATAAAGAATTTATTTTTTAGATAAATTCAATTAAAACCTCCATTATTTACAATGAATTAATTATTATGGCATTATGAGCTTTCTAAAATACCTAAACCTAGTTTATTTGGGAAACAATGTGTCTGATTGTTTGCAATATATAGATTTGGTCGATGAATTGTATTATAATAATACTATAATAAAAGTATTAATTTTTACAGCAATAAATTTTGTCCTATTTCATCTCAAAATTTAATAGATAACCCCCCCCCCCCCAAAAAAAATTTATCCTACCCCCATAAGAGCAGCTTACCCCCTCAAAAAAATAGGATGCAAACTGTTCCTACCCCTCCCGCTCATGTAGACACTGGGGTAGGATAAATATATTTGGAAATTATTTATTAATTTTTAGATAAAATAGGAAAAAATATATTGCTGTAAAAATTTATCCTTTTTTTTGTTTCAGTGATATTGTGGCAATCTATGTCTCTGAAAAATTTCTGGGCGAAAGTAAATTAATGATATTATGTAGTACTGTTGAAGTAAATGTTGTGTTTTTTTATTTTAGAGTTGAAGATCGTAAAATTGTAATATAAATGTTTATAATATAATAACAATAACCAACATCTACATGGTAGAAAATTTGATGGATGCAAACCCCTTTCCAAAATCTACCCCTACCCCCTAAAATATATCGCCCTTCGGTTGCGATATTTGCCAATCCACAATGCATTAGTGATATTAATAAAAAGAATATTACAGTAAGCCACCATATACAACCTTATAACTTTCTATTAACAATATTTTAAGCCTTAGGAGATAAGGATTTTGAAATTTGTAGGTTATAATTAATATGTTACTATCCTTTTTCTAAAAATAGGAAATAAATATAAATTTTAATAGTGCAATCATTTTATCATTTGGTTGATAATCACTTTATTTTTATATTAAGTGTTATAACGCATTTTCATTTCTATAAAAAACGATCTAAAATATTGTAAAAAATATAAGATGATTAATTTTTAAAGAGGTATATTTGGTTTATCAATTATTGGATTTAAAAACATCATAATACAAGTAAAGATTACCATTCAAAAATAAATACTTATCCCCAAAAATTAATGCCTACCTCCAAAATTTTAATATTGAAAACTTATAGTTATTATTAATAATAGATATATGTGCTCATTTATAATTTAAACCAATTTATATATTGATACATTTTATATAATAATAATATAATATTATAAGATAAAAATTATGTGTTATATACATTTATAATAATAGTTTTATAATAAAATAATAATAAAATAATTTTTACAACAGTATTAATATATTATAATTATGTAATAAAATGATTTATATATCTATAATTTTTAAAATGATTTATATATTTATAATTTTTAAAATAATTAACATTTTTTTTAAATATTATATTTTAGTATTTTTATGGTTTTCATTCATTTAATATCTCGCTATTTTGCTGCTCGCTATTTAGAGGTGGAACCGAGGATATAAATGTATCTGAAGATCAAACAATTTAAGAATTTAAATCTTAGTACATTAAAGTTTTTCCCAAATATATTAAAATTACTGTATATGTTGGCAACAATACAAATTAGTACATGCACAAATTAGAGGACATTTCCTCATTACGGAGAATTGAACATTATCTCAGAAGTAGGACGTTAGAAAATCTATTACATTATCTCTACTTAAATTACATCAAAATTTAATTTAACAAAAAAAAAATTATGTCAATCGCAAAGATAAATTTTATTTATGATATGAACAATATTTTGATTTTTAAGTCATCATATAATGTTTATCTATATTAATGTATATTCCTTTATTATATAATATTTCTAAAATAATTTAATTTTTATAAGTTATTTATATCATAAGTAAATTAATCTCACTTCAATTAATAGAGTTTATATCAAAATATTCAAATTCAAACACCTTAAGTAATAATATAATATAATTTTTAAATATGTTAAAACAAAAAATAATTTTATAAGATTATTTTCATAAAATAATAATATACCAACTTGCGGATTTAATATTATTAAAATTTAAAATGTAATTATAATTATTTTTAATATAATTATATTATATGATTTAAACTATTTATTATGAGATAAAACTATAAATGTATATTCCTTTATTATTGAATATATAAAATAATTTAATTTTTTTTCAGTTATTTATATCATAGGAAAATGAATCTCATTTCAATTAAAAAATTTTACCTAAGCATTTGCACCTAGGGATTTGCAATTCCAAAATTATATACCCTCGGCCCAGGTATATTGGCCTTTATGGCTTTTGTACCTGGATGCTTTATTCAATAATTCGAATTTTAGGGATAAGAGTGTAATAGATCACAATATATAAAAATGGTGGATCAAATATATATCAGAAAATAAATCAAAAAGAAAACAACAATGAAGTAATAGTGTTAAAACGCGATATATATATAAAATAATATCGTGGGGATGATTCGTTCTAATTGAATGGTTGTTTTAATGTTCGAATTATTAGATTAGATCTTCTGTTGATGGATCCATAATAGCGGTGGTTGTAGACGGTTCGGAGAGACCTGAGATAAGAGAGGGTGTTTGAATTGTTTCATATTCAAATAACGAGGTTTGTTGTTCTACCTGTTCCATAGCGGTGTTAACAGCATCTTCATCGATAGCAGGTCCAGTGAAGAGATCCATCTGGTCTCTTTCACCGATCCAGACCCTGGAGGGTTCGTCTGCCGGGTTTTTTCTGTCGGAGTCCATTGAATATTTTGGGCAACTGCAGTGAAGGTAGGGAGACCGAGCTTGACCAAGATTTGGGTAATGACGATTTCGATGGAGGGCGATCTAGATCCTCCTTTCCTATATACGTAATAAGCTACTGTAGAATCTTTAAATATCATAGGTGGGATTCCATATCTGTCCATGGCGAATAGTGATCATACACCTACTGCGAGTATTTCCCTGGCGTTGATATGCGTTATAGCGTGCATAGGAATACCAAAGAGGAGTGCGGCTTCTTGGAAAGTAACTGACATGTTATCAAAACCCCAGAATGAAATTCCAATAAATGAATCTCGTCGACATAGACCGGATTGCTGACATGATATCGAAGACTGAGGGGTTTTTCTAGGGCATCGATAATAATCTGGACCTTCTTGAAAGCTAGATATGTGTCTACTACTGGAGCGAGGGAAGAGTTGTGCATCGTAGTATAATAAGGTGAGAATAATCGGGACATACCTGTGATAATATAGGAAAAGTGGTTAACTACTCCTAGTACGCGAGCAGCTAATATCCTTTCTATCTGGAGATGTTGATAGGAGTGGCGCCGGAAGATTTCTAGGCATCTGGCTAATCTTCGCCTTGTATTGGTGTCAGCAGAGACGGTTTTTGCTTGAAAATCGATGGGGACCCCAAGGTAAGTTATTTTGGGGGTGGAGTCGATAACCGACTTGTTAATAGCTATGGTGAGACCCCATCCTTCTAGAGTACATCTTAACGATCGTTGACCATTTAACGTCAAATTCGCCATCTCCATATATGAGAATATCGTCAAGGTAGACATTATTTGAAGCTTTACGGACTGTTTTGGCGCATACATCCAATATTATACTTTGGAGACAGGGGGCTAAAGGATGCTCCCATGTGTAATACCTTGTATCTGTATTTGCGGCCTTATAATTTGAAACCAAAGAATTTCCTAACTTGCAAGGACAAAGGGATAGAGAAAAAGGCGGATTTAATATGAATTTTACAAGCGAATTTGGCTTTCTCCAAGTTGGTAGACATCAGTGGTATAGATTTTAGGGGGAAAGGATAATGTAAGAAGTTTTTGGAGATTTGGGAGAAGTCACTGATGACGCGTGGAGAGGCATCGGATATGGGAATTGTATACATAGGAGAGCATATTTGGTCGTGCTCTGCATCTTCAATTACTTGCTGGATAATTTGTTCGAAACTTTCGTCTTGTTCCCTTCTATGGGCTGGACGGAAGTACCTTCCTTCATTGGCTCTTATTCGTAGGTGGTCTAGTCTGGGCCTGAAACCCCTCCTAGCCACAGCCTTGGTAAAGTTTGACATCAAAGGTCCTACTGTGAGCTTAGCCTCAGCGATATTCAGGGTAGTTCCTTCGTTGAAGCCGAAATCTGCTGGGAAGACGCGGGTCCTAGTATTGGCGATACCGTTAAAGATGTCGTTAATTGCTGGGATGTCCACAGATCCTGCTTGGGGCGCACAAAAATCTTCATTCCCCCGGAAAGCACGCTTTCAAGAGAGCTGATGATAGATTCCGCATCTTCCAATTCATTAGAATGTGAAGAAATCCAAGACGCAGTTGAAGGGTTATCAATTCTCCATTCTTGAATACCAGAATCTTCCGATAACAGGGACACCACATCGGAGGAAGATTCCTGTAGTTGACTGGCATCGACGATACTAGGTGGCGGAGACGGTTGTCTGCCTTTCTTCTGATGCCCCTGTATCCTGGTGGTCTGGCGAGAAAAGATGGCGCCTCAATTCCTTTAAATATTTATTGATATTTTTGAGCCAATCTGGAAATTGCACTTTTCTGCCCTTCCGGGTCGGTGGTCCTTTAGCCGGGATATGGTTGTCTTCATTTTCCATATGTGGCCCTAAAAAGGGCCTGTCTGTCCCTATCGTTAGCTTTACATTTCGGCTCTTTGAGGCCTGAACGTAGTCTTTTCCATAATCTTGCTAGCTTTGCCACTTTTTCCACTGCTTGTATTTTCCAATATTTTATTATGTGTTCTTGTCATATTTTAAAAATGATAATGAGTAACCTAATCGATAGTGAATTCTGAACGTTAAAAAATGTATTAGATAATTAAGATGAAACTTATATCCTATTTTTTATGAAATGTTATGAGATGTGTTAAAAAGATATAAAAATATAATATTTGAATTTTTAAAACTTTTATATACCTAATTAATTACAAATTTTATATAATTTTTTAAATTATGCAAAAAAACCCGGAATGTAAGGCTCCGATTTTTATTTTTTTTAAAAAGAAACTTATTATAGGAACAGGATGAGTCAAAATCGAATAGCTAAGTTATCATTTATCTCAATTGTAAAAATGATTAAAAATCTAGCGATATTTATTATAATTGGTTTTGTTATAAATGGGAAAATGTTTTGTTTAAACTTATATGAAAGAAAAAGATATATTTTACTTTTTCGGGACATTCATTCACAACATTTTTTGTCGAATATTTTTTTTTTATATTAATAAAAAAATTAAAAGGTGATATTAAAATTGCTATTTAATATTCATGAGAGTAAGATTGTTAAAAAGCCCAATTCGGGTCGATTTTTAAAATTAGAGATTTTGCTGATATATGGCATAAAGGGTTTGATTTTGAATCATATTATATTAGGTATAAACGGCAAAAACTATAATTTATTGTATAAAAATCAATCATATATTTATTGCTGTATAGATTTTATTTAAGACAGGGATCCAAACCGAACCATTAAACCGCTAAAAACCGGTATTTTTTATCAAACCTAAACCGCTAAGCCGAACCTGAACCTCTAAAATGCCTCTGAACCGGTTCAAATCTCATAATTTTATGTATAAAATATGTTTAAGTTATTACTAGTGTATTGGAAAAATTTTAATTATATTCGAATTGTTTTAAAGATTATTATCAATCACATTTGATTGATAAGTGTCAGTCAGAATTTTTATAAACTTTAGTATATTGCCATTTTATAAATATTTTAAGCTTATAAACTATAATGCCTAGAGAAAAATTAAATCCAATATATAAATATTTACATATAGTATTATATGACACATCAAATCTCATATAATACTAGTAGTGCCGGCTACCCAAGTTAGTGTGGAAAGATGTTTTTCAACAATTAAATTTATATTATCTCCTTAATTTAAGCGAGACGAATTTTGAAAATATATTAAGTGTGCGGCTTAATAAAAAAATTTCAAGTAATTGTTTATATTAACAGTAATCATTGATATTTATTTGTTATATTTATAAATTAAATACTATTTTATAATGTGCAATTAATAAAAATGAGGGTTTTATATGTGTTTTTTATTTAATTACGAAATAAATAAAAACTACCCTATACATAATTCAAATGTAGGTTTGAATATAAAAGTGTTCAAACAGGTTTTTAGAGATTCGAACAGAACCGATATTTGTATTTTTTACGAACCGAACCTGAACCGTTATTATTATCCGAATCTTAAACGATATTGGTTTCGGTTAGGATCCCTGATTTAGGATAAAAGAATGTAATAAATACTAAGTCATATGTATTGATAGTATATACATATTATTTAAATTTTCGAACTTGTTTTATATGTCATTTTTATTATATTATTAAATTAATATACTAAATATAACTAGGCCTTGCGCCGAAGCCTCAATTGACCGAGGAGGTCTTTTAAAAAATTGTTCGACGGCGCGCCGATTTAGCCGCTGCCTAATAAATTATCGGCGGCGAGGCGCGCTATTTATTTCAAAATTTTTTAAGTGGATTCAATTTATAATTCAATGTATTACATTTTCTATAATTTATTTGTGCACTCTTAGTTCTAACACATTGTTAACATAGTTTAATTCATTTCATATATTTCCTCTCTCACTCCTATTTAAATGAATGTATTTTCTCATTCTCAGAAAAAGAGTAAGGAATTGCATTTTTACTCAGTCGCATTTAGTAATATTTCATTGATTTTTATTAAAACAAAGAAAATACAAATATGGAATGAGCAAAATATATAATAGGTATAAATCAGATTTAGTAAAATTATAATTGTCATGAATAAATAGTATTTTATCAAGATTCATAGGACATAAATAAGTCCTTTTTGCATTTAGTATTAATCCTGCAATAAAAAAAAATTCTTTCACTGGGTATACAAAGAACCTTCCTGCTATAAAGCCAAAATACGAATAGAAGATTATTATAAAATTTTCGATATATTGATAAATTTGAAGGGAAAAAATAATAGGATACGTAAAATAATGCTCAAAGATTCTGAGCTAAAAAAATATAGAAGAATATTAATACAGTAAACTAATATCCTCAAATCGTATATAAGCTCATTTAGATAGAAAGAAAAATACCTAATTTCTTTTATATGATAAATTTTACTAAATGCAGCCGAAGGCAGGAGTATGGTCTCCAGTTCAGTCAACGGATTAAAACTTTGACTGGGTGTATAAATTGAGTAAGTTGCCATAAATTTGAGGTTAAGAGATCAATTTACCTGCATTTGATAATGACCGTGTATGGCTAACATCGACAAACAATATCTAACAAATTGACAAATACTATACAGAACGGATTCCTTCATTTAAGTGGGTATCAATAGTAATCATCTGATGACCCGCCATAGGATACCCATATAAATTAATTACATTAAACTTTTTAAAAAATTAAGAATTTCATTCATGTAAAAAGTTATATATATATATGGAAAATAATCATGGCTTGGGACGAGCTGATTTATGTTCAATGGCGTTTAAAAATGTATTTCAATGAATGAATCATTAATCCAGCTAAGTATTATAAGTCATTGAGGGCTTTTCAACTTTCGGATCGACTCAGTTTTTTAAAAATTTGCAAAATAAGATAACGAAAAAGGGAAATTTTTAACTAAATTTAAAATATTTTAAAAGTCTCCAAAGTCTATAAGACGTTTGAACCTCCTGTCCACCTTGTCCTTCCCTCCAAATGATGCTATTCCAATCAGTTATACATAAAAATCTATTTCTGTTCGATTTTTTTATAACACGTAGACTTTCAATGATATGATATCCGATTTACATTTTATTTTTTTATAATTTTCAATGTACAATTTAATATATATAATAAGTTTCATAATAAATTAGTGCAGACCTTTCGTTTATATTTAAAAATATACGTAAAAATATTAAATATATATTTAAAAAGAAGAAGGATGGGACATCTGTTTTTTTTTAAAATAAATAAAATTATTTGTTTATTCTTCAACCGTTATATTATATTCTACAAGTATTTCTGTTTATTTATATTATCATTAGCATATAGCGTCAGAATTTTTATCCTTGTCTTCTTTGTTATAATACTCATGATTGATAGGTTGAGTGGGGAATAGATGCCTAGGGGAATCGGCGAAAATATATTTAAGCTTGTAAGCTTCGGCTAGAATCATGCCTATTTCCTTTTCGCTCCAATTTTTGGTGGGAAGATTTTGAACCAATAGCATTATGCCCTTAAAAAAAATTTAAATCGTTTATTTAGATATAATTTACTCATTTATATTTATAAAATATAACAAAAATTAATAAAATTCAATTCATTCAATTACATAACAGAATTATGCCATGACTAAACGATGTTTAATATAAAATACATTATTTTATGTATATCATGGTGATTTCTAGTTATATACAAAAAAACATTAATTTCTGAATGGCAGCTATGATTGACCGAGACTCCATCTCCGGCGGGAGATGTATTTTTTAAATCAAACTTACCGACGAGGTTAGAGTAAGATTAGAGAGATATGTTAGTAATATACATTTTAAAAAAGGGTTAAAAATTAAAACGTGAAATGATAGGCGTAATTTTTCTAAAAAGTCCATCAATTATAGTAATTTGAATCTCCCAGTCGTGGACAAGAATTATATTTAAAATAGCCATTAATCAACACCCGGAAGAGTCAGGATTTACATTATACTCTTTAGAGCTTTTATTTCAAAAAACACCGATTAATTATTAATGAGGGTTTAGCAAATCTTTTAAATTTAAATATTTTATAATGCGTGTTTTTTTAAAAAAATTTTAAAGACCTGGTTATACAGATACCGTGATCCCAGCATGTATAGAAGTAATATATTTTGTGAATTTCAGACAATTCTTGTATATAACTTTTTAATTAGCACTTCTTTATATAAATTTTAAAAAATAAAATTATGGGCGAAAATGTCTAAAAGCCAAGGTAGATTAATCTCTATTAGCTGCAAAATCCGGTCTTTCAAAATTAAAAAAATATACGTACTATAAAATGATTTAAAGTTGTATAATTTGTGCTGAACCAAGGATCTATGAAACTTACCTAATAATAAGAAGACCAAATTTGTGATCAAAGTTTATAAAATATTTTACTTTCGCTGAATGGTAATTATTCCTTGTTTTTTTTGTTGATATGTAACATGTTAAATTACAATAATTGACATTTCAACGCAAATAACAAATCGCAACAATTAAAAAATTGTAATTTCGAATATTATGTTAATAAAAAATAAATAATGTTTACCTGAAAATCTTTTTCCCTTAGTATACGGTCGGACCAATCGTTCAAGAAAGCAACGCAAACGTAAAGATGAAAATGAGAAAACCCGTTAGTTTCTGACTGATATTTTTGAAACCAAAAAAAATTTAAATGGATATAATATTATCTAAATATAAACTTGTTGGGTATTGTAATTTTAAAATCTAGAAAATGAGGTTACTTTTATATGAATTTTTATAGTACTTAAATCATAAAAAAAAATTTTGGTTGGGAAAATTAATTTTTTCCTAGAGGTTCGGCCACATCGAAAAAAAAATTGTTTCTTGCAGGTCTCGATCTGCCAGTTAGTTTATAAAATTTTGTTAAAATAAATTCGATTTATTAAATCAGAATCCTTTTTTTGTATAATTATATTATTGCTGTAAACATTTCTAAAAAATCGAACGCATTCGCGTTCAATGACAAGTTCACTTTCAAAAAAAAGCAACGCGTTCATGTTCATGAACCGTTCAAAATTTTATGCTAAATTTTTTTTTAAATTTAATTTAATATAAATAAATGTCTTATATTTTTTAACACAATTAGCCATGTTAAAAAATAATATAGTTTTATATTGATAATATAATTATAAATTCAATATTAAATTTTAATAACAATTGTTTTCCAAAATTTTCATCTGATAGACAGGAACACTTGGCAATATGGCATTAGCTATAATAAAAGCTCTCTACATGGGCAGATTAGGGGATTGCGGTATTATACTTAATAAAAAGTGGGTAATTTATTAAAAACATTTATTGGTTTGTCCTTTGCTTCAAAAAATTGAGATAAGTTATCCTCCTCTAATCCATTCTCTACTCGCTCGACAAAAAAAAAGGATATCTCGAAATCAACAGTTCTTGTATTATCAATTCTAGGTTTTCAAAATTTTCAATAACGATATAAGTTTATTTTTAATAGGTTCGTTCTGTGGAAGTTTTATCCATGGCCATTGAAGCTTGAATACTGGATGTATAATTGCAGAAAGAACATATTGATCTTCATATATATGTTCAAATCTTTTAAAAATAAAATATATGTAATTAATTGAGAGTGATAGGTTTAATACCTTTTATTAATCCCATTTAATACTGCGTCTATCAATGGTTGACCATATTTGAGGCCACTAAATTTTTTTTAATTTTAAAATAACTATCGTTATTGTTGGGGTTAAATATCCCAAATGCATTTTTTCTTCAAATTTAATAATTTTACATAGTTATATTATATAAAATAATTATTACAATCAAATATCGTTTTAAATTGAAACTTGAAGATTTTGACACTGATATAATACTTTTTGGGCATATTTTAGACTTGGTAAGCATTGAATTAGTTCTACTATAAAACATTTATCATATTTGGCCATGGTAATGATAATTCATCTGATTTTGGATTTTCAGAATCAGCTGATGAGGATAAAATAATAATATCCATTAGTGTTGTTAAATTGCTTGGTTGGGTCGAATTAGCATGATTTTTGGTTGGGTTTTTGGTCGAAAAAATGGACCAAAACCAAAGCAACCAAATTGGTCGACCTGGTCGACAAAATCCATAGACCCAAGCACCAACCCAAATCAACTTATAATAATTTATTGTTAATGTTTTGCTCAATTTTATGCATAGAGGACGAATATTTCAATAATAGTCTCTTTTCTAAAATTGTATACTTATATTAAAAATTAGAGGACGAGTAATTCAATTTCATATTAATTAAATAATTGATATGGAATTCGAAATAATTACCTACTAAGACCGGGAAAAATTTATTATAGAAATTTATCGATTTTTAGATATTTATAATTCATATATCATCGAAAAATGAGGATAATTTATGTTGATTTAATTCTCCTAAAGTTGTAAAAATTGGCTAAGGCTCAAACAGATTAGATATGCTGGCGCAGGAGTTGACATTAGTCACCTCAGGAGTTGACTCTAGTAGGCCGACTTTAATTTTAAGTTGAAATGCATTTATTTGTTGTTCAACTCTAATTCGATAATGGATATTACAAATTAATGTATAGCCTAAAATTGCCTTCCCATCAAAATATTTTTACATTTATCCAAAATATCCCTCTAGCGAGTAGTTCTAGCTGATCTTTGCTCACATATATCGATAGAAAGATTTTTAAGTGCACTACGAAGTAACCACATTATGAAATAAATTTGACAAATATACTTTAGACGATATTTTAATCATAAAACTTAATATAAATTTGTTAAACAACATTATCATTTTTAATATTCATTTTATTAATATTTGTGAATAATTTTATATTTGTCATAGAATAAATAAAATAATTTTAATGAAATTGTTACGACTTTTGATAGTTTTGAGTCTCACTTTTAGATACTTTAACCAGATTGAATTTAGAAAAAGAAAAGGAAAGAAAAAACTAATAATTACCCCCTATTTTTTATAAAAAAAAATCCATATTCATAGTTAGCTAAAAAATTATATTTTTTTTTGATTTATTATTTTTTTTATTTTACTATAAAACAAGGATATAAATTATTATTTCTAAAGTAAAGAAAAGAGGGAGGGAGGGAGAGGGTTTATATTTAATTTTGACTTGGGAATGAAATTATTTTAACAAAAATTAAATATTTTTATTATGGAATTAATTTTGGGGGGAAAAAAAGGGAGGGGAATAGAATTGGAAGTTAGTTATGCTATTATGGAAAAAACAAAAAATAAGTAAAAAATGGAAGTTATTAATATTAAAAAAAATAAAACTGAAATTTTTTTCGGCAAAAGGATTCAAAAGTAGAATAGAAATAGAATTGTTATTTTTTTCATTGAAAGAGAAAAAATTTTAAATCAAGGAAGAGGGGGGGGGGGGTATTTTTAAGAACAAAATTATAATACATACTTTTAATATTATATATATTTTTTTATTATATTTTATTCTAGGAATTTAATAAATAAATTTTAAAGTTTGATGCAATAAATATCATGAGATATTATATATCTCTTAAAAAAATTTCTCTATGTAGGGGAGACCGGGGTAAAGCGATTGACGGGGTAAAAATGTTAACGCGAATAACTTTTTAACCCTTGAGCACAAAGATTTTAAATTTGGTGTGAAGATGTATTTTTATATCTAATTTCTTACCTATGTTCATCTTTTATAAAACTTACCTGGTTTTATCTATTTTATCAAAAAACTGTTTTTTACCCAAAAAATATAAAAATCATTCTCTAGTATATTTTGCTTTTACTAAAATATACATATCCTCAGGATTCAAAATTTGACACACATGTTCCTTAATGTATTTGTTATAAAATAAAATTTATCTGACATCTATAGCTATACTAGAAGTCACGCAATATCGATGTTTATAATATATGTCACCTTGGGGTAAAGCTGTTATGGGTAAAACGGTTAAAATATATAATTACAGTAACACCAAATAATATATTAAACGGATTCTTAGCTTGTGGAATATATCCTTTAAACCCAAATATATTTACAGATCAAGATCATATCTGCTGTAATAATTAAAATGCTAGCTTAAATATTGAAATTGAAAATAATGAGGAAAATCTTACAGTGAATAATATAGAATTTATGACTCAAAATAATGACAGATATTTCTTTAAAGTATACTAGGAATTATTAGTCCCTTAATGGGCATGGTGGGCATAGTTTATTCCACTAACTTTAGGTGGGAATTGATTGTTTCTTATAGAAATTACTGCCTTAATTAACTATTAAACATGACGTTTATACTTTTGAAATTAATTTTATCACTTAAAATATTTTGGAGTATTTGACCGTATTTAAACAGGTCAAATACTCCTCCCGTCAATTGACTTAAATTGAACGGTCAATTGACCGACTTGCCAACTCTGATAAAAAGTATTCAAAAATCATCTTCAAAACTTAGTTTATGGTGTGTACATCCTATCTGTTTTTAATTAATTAAAAACGATGAAGGGCTATGTGTGGAATATGTAAGCAGAAGCTAATCTGATCATATAAAACTTAGATTGTTTCAATCTAATACGGGAGACCGGACCGGGGTTATTTTTATCCATAAAAAATAAGTGTTATAAATATAGACTAAGCAAATTTATCAAAATATAGAATTTTAAAAAATATCATGGTTTGTCAAGTGATTAAATCTATATTTTATTTACTTTTAATTTAATGACCCGTAAAAATTCCCTCAAAACTATCAAAAGTCGTAACAATTTCATTAAAATTATTTTATTTATTCTATGACAAATATAAAATTATTCACAAATATTAATAAAATGAATATTAAAAAAGATAACGTTGTTTAACAAATTTATATTAAGTTTTATGATTAAAATATCGTCTAAAGTATATTTGTCAAATTTATTTCGTAATGTGGTTACTTGGTAGTGCACTGAAGGATCTTTCTATCGATATATGTGAGCAAAGATCAGCTAGAACTACTCGCTAGAGGGATATTTTGGATAAATGTAAAAATATTTTGATGGGAAGGCAATTTTAGGCTGTACATTAATTTGTAATATCCATTATCGAATTAGAGTTAAACAACAAATAAATGCATTTCAGCTTAAAATCTCCTGAGGTGACTAATATCAACTCCTGAGCCAGCATATCTAATCTGTTTGAGCCTTAGCCAATTTTTACAACTTTAGGAGAATAAATTCAACATAAATTATCCTCATTTTTCGATGATATATGAATTATAAATATCTAAAAATCGATAAATTCCTATAATAAATTTTTCCCGGTCTTAGAAGGTAATTATTTCAAATTCCATATCAATTATTTAATTAATATGAAATTGAATTACTCGTCCTCTAATTTTTAATTTTGAATATAAGTATACAATTTAAAAAAAGACTATTATTGAAATATTCGTCCTCTATGCATAAAATTGAGCAAAACATTAACAATAAATTATTATAAGTTGATTTGGGTAGGTGCTCGGGTCTGTGCTTGAATCGGTGCTCGGGTCTATGGATTTGGTCGACCAATTTGGTTGCTTTGGTTTTGGTTCATTTTTTTAACCAAAAACCAGAGTCGTGGTCGTGTAAAACCAGCTAATTAACCACACTAATATCCATGCTTATGCTAATCTATTAAATTAAAATATAAACAATAATATTCAAATTAAACAACTATAATAATGGCGTGTTAAAAAATTGAAATATGAGAAGGAAATACAGCAAAAAATATAAATAATAATTTTTATAAATAAATTAGGATTAATATTTATTTTTTCAAATAAATAAAAATAAAAAGTATTTTTAAAATTGAATGAACGTTAAATTTTAACGCGTTCGCCATAAAAAATGAACGCGTTCACCTTCAAAGTTCGTCAAAAATAAAAGGAACGCCGTTCATCATTTTTTTCAAAAAACCAACGCGTTCGTTTACAACACTAAATTATATTGATGGTGAACAAACGATAATAATCAATAAATATTTAGATGTGCTACTATGATTACAATTTATTTTTTTTGATTATACGCGAGTTTAATAAAAACATTTAAGATATGCTTTTGATGACAAGGTACTGATAATAGTTCTATTTGAATTACAATATATATGAATTAAATATTTTTCTTTCTATATATATAACTTTTATGTATTATTACCAGATAAGTATCCCATAATCGGATGGTACATTTTAGAGGTATTTCTCGCATCAACAGATTGTTCATCCAGCGAAAAGCAAATTGGAGGTATTCGACCTCATTTTCCCGTAAATGATTATATAAAGGCACTATTTATATTTTTTTCATTAAATTCAAAATTATACTAGAGCTTACTTATTGAGGCTTCTATTGTAAAAAAATATATATTAAAATACAAGAGCTGCCATTTTAATTATACCATATCCGGCAACAGACCGGATTTTCTTTATCAGGATTCGATCGGTTCTAATAAATTAGCCTTTTTAAATACTCTGTATTAAATGTAATAATTTTAAAAAAATAAATTTACATTCTAAGTATAAGAAATAAGATAAGCTTATAATTTTTATAAGACCCGACACCGGTACCCAACCCGGTAAATAATAAAATTTTAGATCCGGGCAGGTTACTAATAAAAATATTAATCCAGTATATCTCTGATTTTTAAATATGATGAAAGAACCTATCATTCAAAATTGGACCTTAAAAAATAATTCGCCTTATAAAGAGTATAATAAAATGGGGGAAGGCGTATTGAAATATATATTTCTGCTTTGGTTTAAGCCATATTCAAGGGTTTATTTTGTATTTTTTTAAATGGATTAATTTAAAAATAGTTAGATCATTTTGGATTGAATATATTTCAAAATCTTAGTTTATTATTGCCACAATGGTATAATATCATATAATCTTGGGGTTGGATCCCAATTTTTGATTTAAAGGTAGCCAAGAAAGGTCAGTTGCATTTGCAGTTTGCATTTGAGTGAGAAGATTTTTTTATAGTCCAAGTTGGCTCGAAATAGAATAAAGTTTATTATTAATTTTTATCTATGTTACCCAATGAGAGTAAAAAAGCTGATGTGGGTCGCTTTTAAAAAACGACCAATTAGAATTTTAGCCAAAATAATATTACGTAAGACTCATGATATGGCAATAGAGGTCCCAAACTTATCTGCCATATATGAGTAAGATCTCCAGGCTTGCATAATATTATTTTGGCTAAAATCTTAATCCGATCGTTTTTTAAAAAATAAACCCGAATCGGGCTTTTTAGCAACGCAGTCATAATGACATATAATAATACCTAGACTGATATTTCATTTATTCAAATGCCTTTTGAAGCGTCATTTAATATAAATCAGTTGGTGGCACACCATTTTGGATTCCCCCGTATAAACAATTTATATTAAAATATAATGTAATTTTTAAAAAATAAAATGACAGTAAAAAAAATTATGAGAACCCAAAATGGCGTATCACCAGCTAATTTATATTAAACGACGTTTCAAAATAGTATTATGTCATTGATGCTACCTACCCCAGAATTTTTCGTAAGATTATAAAATCCTGTATAATTATTTAATTTTTAAAAAAAAATTTAAAAATGCGTGATTTTTGATTTATAAATTTATGGCTTAATATTTTATAGTTCCTTTGGAATTTTTTGTAGATTTCTTAGTTTTAATGGTAGATTTGTGATAATAAAGGATAGCTTTGAATTAAAATTTTAAAGAGGCATTTCAGTTTGGAAAAAGAAACATTTCAAACTAGATTTTAACCAAAACAGTTAAAACCAGAGGCCAATTATTTGCTAATAGATTTTCTTAAATAAAAGATATATTACAATTAAAAGTAATTACAAAAAAATGTCACCGAAAAAGCCCTCATGAAATATTGCCACAGGGGAAATATCCCCCCTCCTGCCCGGGAAAATAGTCGCAGGGAAGAAAACCCTATCAAATTCCAGAATAAAAATTACCATAGTCCCAGAAATAATATAAATCACAAACTAAACCACCCGAAAATTGAAAAAAACTCAGTCAATCAGCAAAATACAACCGATACCATTTTATTTCACTAATTTCTGGCCCAAACAGATTTTAAGGTAGCATGAAACGATATTCATAATAATAATAATAAACCATTTATTCTGGATACCAAATGCTTGAGAACGTTAACTTTTTCTTGAATTCCAGGTTGAGCAAAAGTGTAATTATCTTGGATTCCGTCTAGCAGATTGGAAACGCACCAAAAACTATCGGATTCCAAATCTTTCAAAATATCTTGGGACAGCTTGTCGATCACGAAATTATCGATACTCGTACCTTGTCAAATTTTTAAAATAATCTTTTGTTAAAAACAATTTTTTTTTGTATCTGGTCCAACCAAGATCTAAGGAGTGGTTTAGGAATGATACTTAACGAATTTGAAACTTTCTACAAGTTTGGAGAAGATACTTTTACAAATATATGATACATTTAGAGATTTAAAAAAAGCTATAATTTGAAAAATGATTTGTTAGGGTGTATCTTTTAAGCAAAAAACCGGAAGGGACGTATTCGGAAAGAAAAACGACGAAAAATGGCGTGACTAAATCGTTGATCCCTTGCACGTATCCGCTAGCTGGATGTCTCATGGCCCATATATACAATATCCTTTCGAACATCTGTAAAATAAATTTGAGGAAAATAACCATAGGTAAAAACCAAACCCGGAATCGAGTAAAATTTATTAAGATATTTAGAAAGGGAGCCCGTTTTCAAAAATATCCACGAACTCGAACCGATTCTAACAAAAAATTACAACTAGTGTTGTTAAAAACCTTGATTTAGACGATTTTTTTAAAAGGCTACTTTTTGGCAAAATCCTGAGACTTAGGTAATATTTATTGGCTGAAAATCTTGATTCAGCTGGATTTTTTTTGAAATCGAGGCTTTTTGACAATAATAGACATCTAATCTATATTGATCATCTTTTGCTGTTCATTTTAGAACGTTTATTTAGGTGTTTTAATATACTTCGATTTTTTAAAAAAATAGAGTTTGGGAATCTGAACACTAGCCTTTGAATCGGGTCAAATCTAACAGAAAGTGGAATAAAAATATTCAAAATGCGAAACCAGATATTGGAAAATATTTCAGAAATGGGAAAGGTACACTTTTTTAGCCTAGTTTCCCACCAAATTCTGATTAATAAGTATATGTTCGTGGTGATAGATAATATATCGCTACATTCACGCATCCGCGAGTTGTAGCCACCGATTTTGTTTCACGCTTTGAGGTTTAATGGAGTTACGATAGTAGAGAGGCTGTGCCGATGATCGGGGATTTGGCGTCTTTAAAAATATAGGATCGGTCCGATATTTTCGTTGTTTTTAGCTAATTTATGATTGTATGGATATAATTATATATTTTTTATTTTATATATAATTTTACAATAATAAATTAATAAAAAGAACCAAAATTCAGTTTATTTCTAAGAGATAGGATTCTAAATCGCTAAAACAAAAATCGCTTTTCTTCCATTACAAGTGTTTAATTCCCTAGCATCTTTTAATATTTCAAATATACTTAAATTTTTTTTAGGAGATATAAGTAAGATTCCCAATTTTTAGCGATTTAGAACGGGAACCATTTCTAAGAATTATTTTAAGATATGAAGTTAAAATTTGATATTATTTTTTGTTATATTATCAATTAGAAAAGAATTTAAAATCATCTAACGAGCCATATTCATTAGTGATGCTAAAAGCCCCAATTTAGCTGATTTTTAAAAACGATGAGCTTAAGATTTTCGCTAAAAGTAAATTATCGAGCCTAGGCTAAAATCTTTATTTAATCCATTTTAAAAAAAGGCTAAATGGAGCCATTGAACAACATTTTTCTTTCTTTTAGCCATAAAAAATAAATTTTTTAAAAAAATGCACTAAATCATTCGTGAAAGTTAGTTGGTTTTTTTAAATAGAAAATGTTATGATTTTGGTTCAAAGATGTAAATAAAAATTCATATAAATATCGGTTAGGTATCGGTTTTGTAGTAATATCATATAGGAAATTTTTTTGGATCGACACAGCCCTAGGCGATAGCGACAGTGGCATTAGGTATAATCTTAAATGTTTATACGTACATCTTGAACGGTTGGTTGTTGAAAAAGGTCGATAAGTGGATTCATTCTCGGAATGTCAATATGTATCTGTGTAGAATATACAAAATTAAATTAAATTTATTATAATTTAAAAAAAAAATATATATAAATTTTGTATAACTCACTCAAATAAAAATGTCTTTTAAAATCGTGATAAAATAATCATTTATTAAAATGTATTTAGAAGTGCATTTGAATATAAATCAGCTGTGACATGCCAAATTCTCCCGCATGAGAATTTTTATACATAAATGAAACAGAGAAATTTTTTAAAAAGTTTGAAACCAAAACAGCTGATAATGATAAATATTTAAGTTAATGAATCGTCAGGACATAAAATAAATAAAAAAAGGAGTAAATAACTTTGCATAACAAATAAAAGTCATGGTTCGAACTAAGTGTATGGATTTTTTGGAATATCGGATCAGCCCTATCATTCGTATTCTTTGCGAATATCGGTTATCGACAGATATTTTAATGATCCGATATATCAAAATGGCGAATAAAATTTCTTATAATTATTTTTTTTTTTAAATTGAATATCTCCCATTTGTTTAGACGCACGCGCATATATTTTATTTGTATATTTTTTGTTTGATTTTATTCCCTATATATACAACCCCCCTAATGTCATTATTTAAAGGATAGACGGATATTAGTAATCGTTTTAATGATTAGCTGATATCTTTAACTGAGCTAGGACGGGGTATAAGAAATACATCTCTCGTTCGAACCAAGGGTTGATATGTCAAAACATCGGTTCATTAGCCGAATCAAAATCGAACCGGGTGGGATACCGTCTATCGGACGGGCCTGTTGTCCTGGGTGTGCCAGGATCCATAATTTTAAATAATAACAGGCTTCTAATTTACGAGATAAATGCATGTAAACAACGAAATTATTTATTTTTATTCAAAACTTGTCTATACATATCTTTGTGTATTTCCTCGAAGCGGGATGGATAATATTTCACGACGAAAGCAAAATATTCTTTCCTCTTCCGGTCGAGCGTTTCTTTCCTCCGTCCAACGCATGTAGGTATATAATGCTTTTTTTATTATAATTTAAATATATATATTCCTTTCTTTCTTTCTTTAATTCTTATTTACTTTAGTAATATAATTTATGTCTTATTGGGTTGGGATATGGAATCTATGTGGATTTCGGAAATCTTTCAATTATAAATCCTTTATTGAGGGGGGGGGGGTCATTTTTTTTATTCGAAAATTTCAATTTGATCGGAAATTGATTTCAACATGGGTAAGAGTACCTAGCCTATGAATTTTAAGACAATTTTCGCCATGTATTATTAACTTTAAAAAAAATTATTATGAAAAATATGTAATATAAAAATATATAAATTAAAAGTAATTCAAAAATTCACGGCAAAAATTATCCCGAAATTCATAGCGGGTACTTTACACATACTAAAATAAATTTACGTTCAAATTAGAATTCTTAAAATTAAAAAAATAGCCTTCATTAGCAAATTATTTAAATTCGGAGCTCCAAATCCCTATGAATTTTATTTCCCAAGGCGTACATTTAATCAAATACAATAAATAAACAATTAATTTCCTAAAAAAAATTACGTTAAAAATAAACGTTCGGAGACATAGTTCTTATATTTTTATTTTTTTTTATTTCTATATATTTAGTGTTGTTAAATGTCTAGTTTTGAGCCAATTTTTAAAAAAGGCTAACTCAATATTTTATCCAGAAAAATATTACGCAAGCCTGAAGATTTTGTTCATAGAAGGAACAATGGTCTAGACATATATTATCGAAATCTCGAGGCTTAGACAATATTTTTCTAGCTAAAATATTGAGTTAGCCGTTTTTAAAAATCGGCTCAAAACGAGCCAACCCCTAAAAAAAGGAAGGAATAAATTCAAAACTAATTACAGAATTTTTGTAAATTCTAAAAGGATTTTGAAAACTGCTAAAAATCAAAAAAAATCTAAGATATTTTATAGCGAATTTTTTTTGAGAATGAATGTTCTAGCTTCAAGTAAGATTTTCCCAAAATTCAAAATTTTTTTGTATTGGAATTTTTTACTCTGGATAATAGAAATCACAAATTTGTTTTTTAAAAAAAATTCAATTTTGTTGATTTTTAAAATTTTGGACGAAAAAACTTCAAAATGCTAATTTGAAGATTTTTGTTAACTCCCTGGCCAGAGTTATACATTTGATCCAAATAAAAAAAAATCAAAGTTCTCGATCTTTGAATATCACAAAATTTGATGATTTTTAATTTAATTTTGAGCAACGATCTTTTAAGATTGAGATCTTTGAAGATAGTAAAATTTAAAGATTTTTTTTTAAAAAATTTTGAGCAACGATCTTTAAGGATCTAAATCTTTGAAAATTTTATTTAAAAATATTTTTGATCAAAGATCTTCATCTGCATATTATTCAATATATAGTGTTTCTAAATTGGGGTCTGAGGGTACCCCATCTATTTTCTCGCGTGATTTTTTTCCAATGAAAGGATATTAATGTACAGCTTCCAAGTTTTGGACATATAGATTCGCAATAGCTCGATGAGCCATAAGCGTATGATTTCCAGGTCTGCTTACATTGATTAGTAGCCTGCCACCATTTTTTTTAAAAAAAATCAAAATATGCTACACTAAACTCATCACAATCCTACAAGATTTTTGAAAATTCTGAAGTATACCATAAAAACTAACACAAAACCCACATTCTAATTTTTTTAAAAAAAATTCATTTTAACCCATTTCCACATATGAAGAAAAATCACGCGAGAGACTAGGTGGGGTACCCTCAGACCCCAATTTTGAAACACTTTATATTAAAATCAAATTTATTTGTAGCTTTCATATTTTAAAAATATATTAATAAAAATTTTATTTATGTTATTTTATCATTTTATGAGAACTTTTGTCAAGTGAGTCAAAAATATTCTTAAAACTAGCACAAGTTATTAAATACCATAAAATGGTATCAAAAAATGAAATAATGATCAAATCATGTTTATCTAAGTTTCAAATATTATAGGGTTAGGGTTTAGAATATTTATTGATAAAAATTATGTATAAAAAAAGTGTATGTTAATTCTTAAAATAACAATGCCAAAACAGATGAAAGAAAGTTACACGGATGACTAGGGGTTGACCTCAAGCTCCAAAAAACCCTTATAACTCTCTACTTAAAAAAATCAAAATTAATTTTGCACACATTTACCTAAAAATGTTAAGCTACATCGAAAAAATTTCAAGTATTAAAGTTTTTAAAATAATTGGTGTCCGCATCCACCTTTGCAATGAAGAGTTAATTTTTTTTATCATGTTTTTGAAAATTTTATATAATAATATCATGTATTATGCCCAAATAAAAATAAATTTCAAAATCAATATATTTAATTCCGTCTTTCTATTGAACCCTCTGATCTCAAATTTACAATGTTTTGTCTGATAACCAAAAAAAAGAGGGGATTTTATATAATTTATGGCCATACTAAAATTGTATGAATTTTAGTGATATCATCATTAAAATTTTTAAGAAATCCTCCATCATAATAAAGATAATGAAAGCAGAAGATAAATGGGCAAATTTTTTAATGATAAATGTTGCAAATTTTAAAAGATTTGCAATTATATTTTTTCATTATCTCATTCTGTATGCAAAATGAAGTTATAATTGATTTATTATCAATTATGAAGGTCATATTAAAGATCTGTAAATCACGGCCCGGGCTTAAATTTAATTTTTAAATAAGATATTAAATTTTGTAAAAAATAATATATTTTGATATTCTTGCAAGAAACCAGACGCTAATTGTAGATTATTATTTTTACAATCAATAAATAAATTTTTCCATATTTAAATTTTTATTTCGTGGTGGGCTATTCGGGACAAATAAAAAAAAATTTGCTCAAGATCTGGCCGGGCTGAACAAATTTTTCGAAACAATATACCTGCCGGGTCGGGCTTGAAAATTAGGTCTGATGCAGATCACTAATTGATATAATCAGGGTTGGCAAGTCAGTCAATTGACAGGTCAAATTCAATCAATTGACCGGAGGAGTATTTGACCTGGTCAAATACGGTCAAATACTCTAAAAAAATCTAAAGAAAAAAAATTAAGAAAGTTTAAAAAAGGAAAAAACGATATAAATACATGTGACACAATGTTGAATATTTTTTTGGGTCCCCAATATCAAGAGGAGCATCTCACTAGTAGTGAATTCAAAGAAGTATGTGACATAATTCATGAATTAGCCATTTTAGAAGGTGGTGATTACCAAAATATTTTAAGTGACATAATTAATTTCAGAAGCAAAAACAGCATGCTTAATAGCAATTTATGAGGAAAACATTAATTTCCATAAGAAACAATCAATTCCGACCTCAAGTTAATAGATTAAATTTTGCCCACCATGCCCATTAAGAGACTAACAATTCTTAGTTCTACTTCTTCTTTAGAAAGAAATAGGTCGATTTTGGTTAATGTTAAAATAGAAATCGACTGAAGATCTCGACAACAGGAAAATTGATTAAAAAATAAAAGAAAATATTGAATATGAATCAGAATAGGAATCTGTTACGGTGAGCTAAACGTTAGTTATTGAATGACAATGAATTTATTCAAAATAAAGTTAATATTGACTTTTGACCATATTTGATCCGTCAAATATTGGTCAATTGACCGAAACGTATTTGACCGGTCAAATGCACAACCCTGGATATAATAATGGCTCAATAAAAGCATGGATTTTACCGTACATTGTAAAATCTTTATTAAGCAGGTCAGTGGCGTATCCAAGATTTTCTTATAGGGGGGGGGGGGAATTTTTTGGGGGCTTCGCCCCCAAACCCCTTTTACCTGGCCTTCGGCCAGCTTTCCCCGGCCTTCGGCCGGGTCTTATTTAGCTATAATTATATTTCTATTTTTAACTATTATTTACTAATTCGTGCTTATGGATAGGATATTACAAGCCTCTTTTTTATTATTTCAAGTTAGGTATATTATATTTAATAAAGTTTTTTTAAATGTAAAGGTTTATTTATGTGTAAAGGTTTATTTATGTGTAAAGTTGAAATATAGTGTAATGTCATTTTTTTTTAAATTTGCTTTAAAAACTAGCCTCAGCTTAAATTCTCATACAATATAAGTAGAATATAATTTTTTTTATTGAAAATATTAATAGTAGTTAAAAATATTGACTAGAAAATAAATAAATTAACAAGTTTTTTTTAACTTCTTATCAAATACAAGATTTTTAATTATTTCGTTTGTCTTTGGAACCAAATCTCTGTGTATATTTAACAGAGCTAACCCATTTAGCCGAGATTCAGTACTTCGTAAATATGTTTTCAACCTTCTCAAGTTGGAAAAAGTCCTTTCATTCGTACATGTTGTAATAGGCAAACATGCAAGAATATAAAACAACTTCGAAATATTAGGAAATTGAGCCAAGGTTTCTTTACACCGATTGAGCGCATCAATAGCATGCTCAGGTAAAATAGCTAAACGTATAAATATTTATACCACAATTCGAATTCACTGATTAAATTTATTTCATTATCAATCTCATAGGAATAAAATTTTTCTAAATATTTAATTTTACCAGTAGTGGCATTAGAAAATGAAGAAGGATCTTTGGGTAATAAAACTTGAAGATTGCTAAAGACTTGTTTTTTATCTAAAACCCGTACTTTTATTTGCTATAAAAAAGTATCTAAGAATGGGATGAAAATGGATATTTTATAATATTCTTTAGTTGAGCCAATATTTATTTTCATCTCAATAATGGCCTAGGTGCTAGACGAGGTTTAATTAGTATTATATCATAAAATTTAGCCTTCGATTCAACGTCTAGATAAATATTATGAAAATATTTATCTACATTCATTCTTATTGTATCTACCTGTTCATGTATATTTTCCAATGTTCCGCCAAATCAATAACTTGAACCAAATCTAAATTTGGTTTTTGTAAATTTCTACAAAGTAGTGAGCTAAAAATAATTTATTGATGCAACTAGCAGCAATGATAAACTCTGATTGATCAATTGAATT